CAGAAGGCAGTCTTAAGATGAATGGATCAGAAAAGGGAGAGATCAAATGCAGGAACAAGCCAGCATTTGCTGTATGTTTCTTCCTCACCTCTTCCATATTTATGTCACTTATCAGTTTCTGTGTCCTTTTGGAGCTTTTGTTGAGGGCTTCAGTCTCACCCTGTATTTCTTTAGCTCCAAACTGACACTCTCTCTGAAAATCTATTCCATTATCTGTGGCCCAAGATGTTCTATATACAGAAGCAGAACTTTTGGCTAAAGGGTTAGTGTGTCTTTCAGAAACCATTCAATTATTTTCTCCCTATACCTTTCTCAGTTTGATACCAGTGGGGAAAGAAGGTACATTGATAAGAAACCTATATTGCTGGGTAGAATTTGTACTTGTTTTCTTGGTAGCAATTTTGCAATATTCTGTAGAATATGTTCCTATTGTTTAATAAAACATTTCTAAAACCTTAAAACCTAACTATGCCAAGCATTAAGATAAACAGATATGATGTCCTTTGACATAAATCAACATGATGATTCTTTGACGTGTAAACACATTTTAGTGTTTCTGGTTTGTCATTTGTGTGTGTTGTTGCTTTTATTTACACTATACCCTTAGCAAAATAGGGTGTTCAATTTTCATTGTTTTTAGTAGTTTCCCAACTTTAAGATTTATCTCATTTAACTGAGAAAGAAAGCCTTTTTTGTATATATATTTTGGATTTCTAAGAATGTTGGTTTGAGCCTTGATTAGACTTTTAATGTGCTAAGTCAGATAGGCAGTCTGTGCACTGGTGACCATCGCAATACAGCTTTGGTTTAATTTAATTCAGGGCTGCTGCTGAGTTATGTGCAGACTTTTTGTTGACCAAAATAAAATGTTAAGGGTTTTTGTTATTAATTTCTTCTGTTTGACATTTAAGTGTTCATTTTTTTCCTTTATGTATTACATTTTGAACCTATATTAAATAAATGTTTATATGATCATTTGCTTATGTCTTAGAAAGCCTTTGCTGTTCATTATTTCCATTCTGATTAACTGAAAGAGATTTATAGAGATGTTCACATTTTAAGCCCTTGGTGCTTTTAGGTTTCTATTGGTTGCAAAAAATTTGGCATTAATGATTTCCCTCTGCTTATGTGGAAATGCCTGTGTTCCAAAGCTTTGCCACTAGATGTTCAAGACGTAATTTGTTATGTAGGCCAGCCTTCCAGAAGAAGAGCGATCTCAGCAAAATGGCATTTCATATTCAGACTAAACAGTAGTATTTAGACAATAATATTTTGACAAAAGCATTTTCAAAACTGCTTAGAAAAAGGTTTCAGTATTCACAGAGGAGAAATATACTTAAAGGCAATAACGTCTCTCTCGAAGAGAAGAGAGGTGAGTGGGTTGGTGACAACTGGTTTGGGGACTTTTGCATTGTGTCATCAGCTCCTCCATCAAGTGAGCAGATTGCTGTTACTGCCTACTGTAGAACGTGAATTAATAGAGTAGTCAGTCTTTTACATTATATGAAGTATAACTTCCTCTCTTTTTTACCTATAATACAGCCTTTAACTTTTACAGATTAAAAAAACCACTGTTAGACAAAGCAAAATGGAACCTGGAAAATCCTTTATAGTTTTGTAAAATAGCAATGGGCCTACTGTCAAATTAACCAACAGCTTTTTAAATGGATTTTCATGAGAACTCGGAAAAGAAACATAACCACCAGGAGCCAGCATGGATCTCTCTAGTAAGAAATCAGGTATGGCAGAGCCAGGTGTGGTGTCTCATGACTGTAATTACAATGCTTTGGGAGTTCCAGGCAGGGGGATTGCTTGAGGCCAGTAGGTCAAAACCAGCCTGGCCAATATTGCAAGACCCCATCTCTACAAAAAATTTTAAAATTAGCTGGACATGATGGCATGCGATCACATCACTACACTCCAGGCTTCATGACAGAGACCCTATCTCACAAAAAAAAAAAATCACATGTGGCAGACTAAACTCATTTGTCTTTTTAAAAGCATGAGAGAGATAGTATGTCAGAATTTCAGCAAGGTGCTTGACAAAGACTCATGATAGTTTTGCTGAAAAGAATCTTAGGTGGGTTTTCCCACATGTAGACTCTAGGATAAAGATTTGGGCGCAAGTAATTTATTTGGTAAGTAATTTTAGGAAATCCTGTGGAAGAACTGAGGAACTGAGGCAGATTGAAAGACTTACCACTGTGGGCAACTGGGGCTCAGTCCTGCTGGAGACCCGCTGAGACATGGTATGGAAAACATCTCTGAATTCTTCCACGGAAGGGCAAGGTAGCTGGGAATATTATCCACCACTTTCCATCCCTCACTGGTTGAGGGTCAATTCTGAGGTATTAATTCCTTGCCATGTCCAGCCTTCCTGGATGTGGACCAGGTTCACCCTCATAACTAGAGAATGCTCTCAGGCAGAGACTCCAGAAGCCAAGCATGGGAACTGTCTGCTTGCAAACCCGGGAGTAGATGGAGCATGACTGTTAGTGGGTCCTGCATTTCATTTTGAGGGGATGAAATGTTCTGGGTAGTGGTGATGGTTCTACAACTTTTTGACTATACTAAAAATCACTGCATTGTATACTTTAAAAGGATAAATTTTATATGTGAGTTATATCTCAATTAAAAAAAGAAAACCTCTGGGAATAAATGAAGGGGATATGTTGAAGCATCTCCAGCAGCCAATCCCGCAATCCCGCTCTGCCTGTACCACCTTGTGTCCCATGTTCAGTTCACTTTCTCTCAAAATAATGGCTGGTCACAATTTTTTTTTTAGATGGAGGCTCACTGTGTTGCCCAGGCTGGAGTGCAGTGGTGCAACCTCAGCTCACTGCAACCTCTGCCTCCCAGGTTTAAACAATTCTCTGCCTCAGCCTACCAAGTAGCTAGGATTACAGGCACCTGCCAACACACCAGCTAAATTCTTTGTATTTTTAGTAGAGATGGGGTTTCACCATCTTGGCCAGGCTGGTCTTGAACTCCTGACCTCGTGATCTACCCACCTCGGCCTCCCAAAGTGCTGGGATTACAGGGGTGAGCCACTGCACACAGCCCACAGTATTTTTAAAAGAATGAATACGAAAAGGAAAACATCAACGAAAAGATTAGTGGGACAAGCTGTAATCCTCTCTGTTGCTTATTGGTCCTGAAGCCAATTCACATGTATCATCTTCCTCTTCTACTCACTCCAGATTCCCCCAGCCTCAACCAGCACTTTCACTGGTCAGCATGGCTGGCCTCATGGGGTGACCTAGACTTTCCTTTCTTAGGTGTCTGAGCCTGATCATTTTGCCCCTGTCCTGCTGTAGTTGTGAAATTTCCCATTTATTGTTATCCCCACATATCACCAAGAGGTACCCTTACACTACAGCCTGAACCATAGAGAGGTACAAAGCTCTCCTGACGGTGCAATCAAAACTTGGAGGCTTCTGAGTGACCCAAGTAATGGTCAGAGCAATATTCCTTAGTGTTGTACATGCTGACTTCAAAATCCAGGTAATACTGCCGAGTGCTTGCCTCTCTTAGTGGTAGAAGATACAAAATGCAGTAACTGGCTCTTGACTTGGCAGGAGTCCCAGTATTCCCTAGATCGTTGGACCTCTGGCAACTTTACCATTGTGTGAGGCCTCCAAATCTTCATAGGAGTCACCTCCTTCTCTGGTGCATGTGACATAAGGAACACCCAGATTATATCCCAATTTATTCCTGTTCACCAGGTCCAGTTAATATTTTGTCATCAAAGTATTGGGCCAGGATGATCTTCTTTGGACTGTTTTGTAACAGAGCAGGAAGGTTTATATGCTCCTAGAACAAAACATGAATGGACACTGTGTTATCTGAGCCAGGTGAATTCAACCTGTTCTTGATTCTCTTTTCTGAAGGGGATTTAAGAGAAATCATTAACCGAATCTCCAGCCTCATATCCAGTGCTGACTAGAAGAAATGCTATGTCCAGCACAGCGTCTGCCACTGGAGCTACTTCTGCCACTTCTTGGTTCATGTTAGTCCACTGTCATCTTCTACCATCTATCTGTGTTCTGCTCTGTTTTGCTTTGCAGGACCCATACAATGGGATATTGTGGGGATCACTGTCCATACTCCTGGGATATGGGGTACGGATTTGCCTCTGATTTTGGCCAGGAGTTGGGGGCAGAGGGTGAGATGGAGAGAGTATTTATTTCATCACCTTTTTGAGGTATAACTTACAACAACATGCACCATTTTAAAGGTACAGTTTGAAGAGTTTTGGCAAATATAGACAGCCCTGGAACCACCGCCACAATCGAAATACAGCACACTTTCACGACTTCACCAAGTCCCTTCATGTCCCTTTCAGCCAGTCCCCCTGACCCTGGCTGGTCCCCAGCAGAGCAACCACTGAACTGCTTTTTCTCTTGATAGCTTCACTTTACCTTTTCTAGAATTCACATGATGAAATCAGACAGTATGTTCTCTTTAATATCTGGTTTCCTTCACTTAACAAAATGTATTTAAGATTCACCCAGCCGAGCACAGTGGCTCACTCCTGTAATCTCAGTAAGTTTGGAGGCCAAGGCAGGTGGATCATGAGGTCAGGAGTTCAGGACCAGCCTGGCCAAGATGGTGAAACCCCATCTCTAATAAAAATACAAAAGAATTCGCTGAGTGTGATGGCAGGTGCCTGTAATCCCAGCTACTTGGGATGCTGTGGCAGGAGAATAGCTTGAACCTAGGAGGTGGAGGTTGCAGTGAGCTGAGATCATGCCACTGCACTCCAGCACTCCAGCCTGGTGTAAATATCATAATTTACTCATTTTACTGTTGAGTAGTACCTTCCAGTGTATAGATATGTCACAATTTGTTTATCCAACTAAATCTTAGAATACTTTAACCAATATTTATTAGCTTTATCAATAGAATCAGCTTTTAAGCTTGAATGTCTACTGTGTGTCAAGCACTGGTATTTGAAATATATTGTGAACAGAATCATAATTTGCACCCTCATGGAGCTTATATTGAAAGCATATAGAAAATAATAAATAGTAAATAAATTATGCAATATGTGTATTAGTTTCCTAAGACTACTGTAACAAATTACCATAAAGCTGGTAGCTTAAAACAAAAGAAATTTACTCTCTCACAGTTCTGGAGGCCAGAAGTCCTAAATGCACATGCTGGTGGAGCTGGATCCTTCTGGAGGCTCTGAGGGGAGATCCAGTCCATTCCTCTATCTTCTGGTGGTACATCTAGGCGTGCCATTGCTAGATCACAGCGTATATGAATGTTAATACTAGTAGACACTGCCCCCCAAATTTTCCAGGTTTCCAATTTACAATCCCACCAGCAGTGTCAGAGAGTTTGGTTCTGGGTATATTTTGAAGGGAAAACTAGTAGACTATCAGCACAGATTGAAAAGAGACAGGACTCACGGATGACTTCAAGGGTTTGGGGCTAATCAACTGCTAGGTTAGGCTTATTATCAGCAGAGATGAGGAGCAGGCTTTGGGAAGGGAAGTGGGCAAAGATCAGAAATTCTTTTTTTTTTTTTTCGAGACAGTCTTGCTCTTTTGCCCAGGCTGGAGTGCAGTGGCATGATCTTGGATCACTGCAATCTCCTCCTCCTGGGTTCAAGTGATTCTCCTCCCTCAACCTCCCAAATAGCTGGGATTACAGGCACATGCCACCATGCCTGGCTAATTTCGGTATTTTTTGAAGAGACAGGGTTTTGCCATGTCGTCCAGTCTGGTCTCGAACTCCTGACCTCAGGTAATATACCTGCCTCGGCCTCCCAAAGTGCTGGGATTACAGGCATGAGCCACTGTGCCTGGCCAGTAATTCTCTTTTAGACAAGCATGGAATGTCTCTCAGGTACCCAAATGGGGATGCTGGGAGGCACCGGACATGCAAGTCTAGACCTCTGAAGTGTGGTCTGAACTAGAGCTAAACCATTGGGAGTTATCAGTGGAGAGGGCTTTTAAACCATTAAAGTGGTAGACAAGGAGGTGAGGGTCAGTGAGAAGCCATGGGGTGCTCCAACCCCAAGGAATCAGGGAAGAGGAGACATCAGCAAAGAGATGGAACAGCAGGGGCCAGTGAGACGGAAGGAAAATGACCAAGAGAGCATCTCCGTGGATGCTGGCTGGGGAAACCGCATCAGCAGAAAGGAATCATTACCTGGGTCACACGCAGCTGTCCAGGAAGAGGCAGCTGACTACTTGATTTAGCGATGCAGGGGGTCACTTGTGTCCTTGACAAGACAGTTCGGTTGGACTGGTGAGTGGCCTGGCTGAGGTGACGGTGAGAAGTAATGAGAGAAACTTGGAGACCACCTGGAGACAAAGCATTGACACCTCTTGAGGAGCTGGGCTATAGAGCAGAGCAAAGTAAAAAAGGGGCATAGGTAGGTAGAAAGGAAAGCAGAATCAAGAGAGGGGACGTTTTTCTTAAAAACAGCTCTCAGGGGGCTTAGATCTGAGGTTGTCCTGTTTACTGCTGCATCCCCCACACCCAGAACGGGGTTTGGCACACAGACTCAATAACTCCGTTAAGTGAATGAGCAAATAGGGCGTGATAAACAAGAAACACATATAACATGCCAAATAGTGATGTGCCCAAGAGCTACAATGAAGAAGGAAAAAGGGAAACCTTGTTGGGGTGGCGGTTGGCATTTTAGACAGGGCTGTCACTAAGGCTTCGATGACAAGGAGACTTTGAAGCAATGAGGAAGGAAGTGAGGAAGCTGGCTGTGGGACATCTGGGGGAAGAGCATTCTAGGCAGCGGACACAGCCAGTGCGAAGTCCCGAGGCGGGACCAAGCTGAAGCACTGTCGAAACAGCAGGGAGGGTGCTGTGCTAAGAGAGACGAGTAAGAGAGCGGGTCACAGAAACAATGAGGGGTCACATCACACAGAATGTGTGGTTCACTGCAAAGACCTTGTCTTCTGTGTCAAGGTGGGGAAGCTACTTGGGCTATGAGCAGAGGAATCCCCTAATTTGACTCATATTTAATAAAATCCAACATCCATAGCAATATGTCTCTAGCTTACCCTCTGAGCTTCAGAACACCGTAAGGTCTCCTGCCATCCCCACCTGTTAATATTGTGAAAAAACTCATTCACGGATGATATGATTGTGTTTGCAGAAAATACACAACAATCTGAATTATCCAAATAAAAAGAGAATTTACCACTGCTAGAGATAAAGTCACTCCATGTGATCAAAATTTTAACCCTCCAGGAAGATATAACAATTTAAAGTTTGTCCTTATTAGTTTCAGAGTCTATAAAGTAAAAATTGACACAATTAAAAGAAACTAGACAAATCCACAATCATAATGGAAGATTTTAACACTCTTCTCTCACTGACTGATGGAACACACAGACAAAATCATTATAAGGATATAGAAGAAAGGAAAAACACAATAGCAGATTTGGCCTAATAAATAAATAAATTACAGCATCCAATCTTTTTTCTTTTTGCACAAATACAGAGTATTTATGAAAATTGGCCACACGCCACACCAAGTCTCAAACACCTGGGTGATGGCTACAAAAGCGCTTGTCTCATACTTATTATTTAAACTATACGTATATTTGTTTTCCATAGTATGCTATATGCCGTATATGCTGTATTATAACACAAAAAGTATGGCATATTCTGGGCACAGAGGCTCACGCCTGTAATCCCAGCACTTTGGGAGACTGAGGCAGACAGATCACTTGAGGTCAGGAGTTTGAGACCAGCCTGGCCAACATAGTGAAACCCCGTCTCCACTAAAAAATCCAAAAAATTAGCCAGTTGTGGTGGTGCGTGCCTGCAATCCCAGCTACTCGGGAGGCTGAGACAGGAAAATTGCTTGAACCCAGGAGGTGGAGGTTGCAGGGAGCTGAGATCACACCAGTGCACTCCAGCCTGGGTGACAGAGCAAGATGCTATACCCCGCCCCCAACAAAAAGTACAGCATAAATGAAAACAAAACACAGCAGAAAATGATAACACGTCATTCAGGGTAGGCTATATATTGGGAAATGAAAACAAAGAAGGGAAGTTTGAGGAGCACTTAACTCCTGTAATATAGTATAGAATAGATTTCGCAAAACCATTCCCAAGCAGTTCAGCTATTTTCGAACAATATAGCACCTTGGCAAGCCGGGAAAAGATTTTGGGCTCCTCAAGTTTATGAGAAGAAATTGTTGCATCTATGACAAATTATCTTTAATACCTTTTCCTGTTGACTGAATGTATTTTAGAAAAGATATTTTAACAGTGGGAAAGAGCAGACAGAGGCAGACCTTAAACAAGGGACATCGGGGATATGGAAAATGGAGGGGACCCCGTGGGGAGAAGATCTAGAAACGTTAATAATGAGTGGCAGGGCAGTGTTGGTAGGGATCTTTCTCTTCTGGAGAAAAGTAGCCCACATCAGCCACCATGGAAGCTTCTAGAAGCCAAACATTCAGGAGGCTCCTCCGCCAAGCTCGGTTTTTCAGGGAGTCTCACGCATCTGTATTTTAAAACTCCATAGATGACCCTGATGTGCAGCCAGGGTTGAAAAGCCCACGTGCTCCTGAGACATTAACCTGCCGGCAAATCCCTTGGGGGATCTTTTTTAAAGTAGGTTCTGATTCTAGAGGTCTGGGAGGGGCCGGAGAGTCTGCATTTCCCACAAGTGCCCTGGCAATGCCGATGCTGCTCATCCCTAGGTCACATTTGGAGTATTGAAGGGAAATCAAATATAATTTGAACCACCAAGCTTGTGAAACAAAGTATGTGTGTTTTCTGGCAGAGTGAGATTCACAGGGCTTCTCCTGTTATGAAATGCAAAGGGCAAGTACAAAACAACCCAGCAGGACACAGTGAAATTCCTTAGGGGGTCACTAATTGAGGCAGTGTGGCCCCAGGTGTACCCTGACCCTTGAAAATGTTTTCACAGTGCTCCATCTGTTTTTCTCCACCAGATTATGCCTTCTAGCTGGTCTTGATTGCTTGTTCCCAGCAAAAATATTTGAGGTGAAGGGATAAATTCAGCCAAGATCAACAAAAAGGAAGGAAGGATTCCTCACTGCTCTCTGAGCACATTGTTTTCATAGCACGTGGCTGAATCTTCCTTCATGCAGGGCATCAGCGGAGTGGTCTCGGTGAGGAGCCACAGTGTTTTCTAAACAAGCTCATTTCTGCATCTGTTCTCTCTGACCTGAAAAATTCTTCTTTGTTCCATTCTTCTTGTTCCTTTCGAAATGACGCCCACTTTGTGTTGTTTACTCAAATTAGTTACTTCAGACAACATAGGCATCAATTCACAGAAAATCCACTCAGGTCACACAGCTGACACAGTTGTCCTTTGGACGTATACACACCGACAAAAGCGTATAGCCTATTAAAATCATTTTTTAACCTTCCTCAGAGGCTCAGAAACCCTTGAATTTTTACCAGTATGTGCTGGTGAAGTACAAGTTCAAACATTTATTTTAGTATTTCCCTACATTATTTTAAGGTAGGCTTTCTTTGCTTTCAAGCCTTAGATGTCTTTTCATTTTCTTTTATTTTTAAGGCTGCCATTCAAGTCATCTGTGTCCGACTGGTTGTTGTCATATCTCACAGAAGTTTGGCCAAAAACAGAGCCACCACAAAACACAGCTGTAGCCTGCAGCTGCCAACCCAGTGCCAGTTCTGTGCACCACCTTGCCTTCAGCTGTTCCTCCCATCCTGGAGGCTCTCTGTCTCTTGTTATATTTGCCAAATATTCCGAATTGCTTGGAATAGCTCAGTGGAGAAGGTCAGTACTATGCCCCATTTGGTGAATGTAAACTCAGGAAGGTTGTACACATTTTATTTACCTGTTTGCTTATTTATTTGATGGGGTCTCACTGTGTCACCCAGGCTGGAGTGCAGTGGCACAATCAGAGCTCATTACAGCGCCTCCAATTCCTGGGCTCAAGTGATCCTTCCACCTCAGCCTCCCAAGTAGCTAGGACTACAGATGTGTACCACCACACCTAGCTAATTTTTTAAAAAATTATTTTCTGCAGAGATAGGGTGTCACTATGTTGCCCAGGCTGGTCTCAAATTCCTTGCCTCAAGCAATCTTCCCACCTTGGCCTCCCAAAGTGTTGGGATTACAGGCATGAGTCACTGCACCTAGCCTACACACTTTTTAAATTCAAAATTCCATCAATAATAAACACAGTTAATTGCCTAAGTGCCTATATGATATGTGTGTGTGTGTGTGTGTGTGTGTGTGCATGCACACAAGCTATACAAAGACTAAATTAACACATTCTCTGCAAGTTACAGGGGGAAAAGGCCTTATTAAATGACCCCACAATGAAATAATCAGAATGTAAGACTGAATGTAAGCCATTATACAATTCAGTTAGCCTGGTCTCTTTAGAAAGTTAGTATCATGGCCAGGCGCAGTGGCTCAAGCCTGTAATCCCAGCACTTTGGGAGGCCGAGGCGGGTGGATCATGAGGTCAAGAGATAGAGACCATCCTGGTCAAAATGGTGAAACCCCATCTCTACTAAAGATACAAAAATTAGCTGGGCATGGTGGCGTGTGCCTGTATCCCAGCTACTCAGGAGGCTGAGGCAGGAGAATTGCCTGAACCCAGGAGGTGGAGGTTGCGGTGAGCCGAGATCACGCCATTGCACTCCAGCCTGGGTAACAAGAGCGAAACTCCGCCTCAAAAAAAAAAAAAGAAAGTCAATATCATGAAAATGAAAAGGTGGGAAAACTGTCCTAAAAGCAGCTGAATTCAGAACCAAGTGCAATGTATGAACTCTTTCTATCATGGAAAGCTATAAAAGGAATCTGGGACAACTTGAAATGTTTGCTCTGCATACTTTCACAAAGTCTAGTTCACTTCCTTAGAACATTTCAGCTCTTACCACTCTTCTGTCATATGCTATTTTACCTGTCCAAGATTTAAGTTCTGCCTTTTAATTTTTTTCAAAATGCCACAAATTAAACACTCCTCTGCAGTGAGACCTTTGGTGTGGGTTAAGGGCCTCACCCTGATATTCTGGAGCATGATCATGAAGCATCTTAATGGGTATTACATATTTTCATCCTATGTAAGATTCACTGGGCTTCATGAATCTGTGGTGGGAAATGTTGAGCTCTTCGTATTTTAAGTGTTTCTGTCCCAGTCTTTCTTCTCCTTCTAGAATTCTAGGTAAGCATACATTAGACTTTATTGTCTTACATAGCTTATTTATAGATCTTAATTTTTTTTCATGGTTTCTGCTTCTTTATCCCTCTGTGCAATGTGCCACATAATTTTTTCTGACATATCTTTGAATTCATCAAATCTCTCCTTAGCTGTGTCTC